CATATCTATCTTGTCTAAAATGTCTAAATATATCCAAAATGGCAGCCAACAAAGTGTGCAGAAAATCTGCTGCAACTGGGAAAAGTTTTGTTAGTGTTAACACTATGAGGTTTGAAAATTCATCAAAATTAGTGCCAACATAATTTTTTTCAGTTTTGTTATTAAACTATATCAACTACATAACTACAATTAAAACCTACATTTCAATGTCATTGAGAAATAGGCATTTTCACCTCATCAAAAGAATTACCTCCATTTTGGGAAAATGTACTCACTTTGAGGTATCTCTTCCCAGGATGCTATTGGGTTAACATCGTCACTTTCAGTACTGTCTTTTCTCTTACTCAATATTTCAGTTGGTCTAACTGTAGGTTTATTGCTTGCTGTTGTCTTGTTGTTGACGTTGTTACAAGTATGTGATGATGTTATTTGATGTTGTGTATCAGTAGATTTGCTGTTGCTACCCAGAAAGATGCTTGCTGACTTGTTAATTCTAGTGTAGGTGGTTAATACTTCTTCTAGTTCTCCCTCACTACAAAATATTCAGGAAGTTTAAAAAATTTTAAAGGGACAGCTGCACAATTTTGGGAGATTGATTTGAGTCTTGAAAATACATGTTAATAGTCTTTAGAAGTACTGGAAATGTACGAAAATCTCATAATTCCTTTAAAAATATCTTATATTAGGAATTTCGCTTTGTATTTCGTGGACACACATGAAATTAGAGGCTCAAATTTCGACAGTGAGCTGTGAACACTATTCCTGATTTGCTTAGCTAAAAAATTCCCCTTTCTGTGGCTAATGTATGATTGATCAAAAAATGGCGCATCTGTCCCTTTAAGGATAAGAAAAGTCTTTGTTGTTCATGTTGTAGAAGGTTAATTTCAGCTCAATCCAAATTCAAGCACAGAATCAAAGGCCTGCAATTGATGCCATTCTGAAACTGGGTCCGTCAAATGAATTAATGATTAACATATGCCGTATTACAGATACCAGGATGTTGAAATGTTTGGGCACAAGTGCAATATATATATATATTGTCAATAATAAGATATCCTTATTTACCCTTGCTGTTTTTACAAAATGATCAAATTTATTTTCATTTAAACAGTCAACACTTTCACTACGGCGTAAATGTGTTTTATCAATCTGATTTCTGCATTTTAACTGTTCTGTTTCCTGAAATTAGAATATTCATAAAAAATTTGAGAATTGTTCTCCTTCTGATTAAACATATTGACAATATTGGCACTGTAAACAATAATATGAAACCATCTCCAAAGAGCATGTTAACAATTGAACTCCATTTGAAAAGATAAATCTAAGCAAAATATACCTATTGGCATTTGATTGTGATTATTTTCTGTTGATTCTTTACTCAATGTGGATCTTACTACATTTATTTGAAAACTATGTTCACAAATTCAACCAATCAAATACTTTTTTCAAATTTTCCACCAGGAATTATGGTATTTAAGCATGGGCAAATATGAAGACGGTTGCATATTGCCAGAAGCAGAATGGAAAGCCATGGAAAAGAAATGAAACAAGACATATTTAAGTATGATTAAATACCTTATCATAAATATGAACAAAGTCTCCAAGTTGTTTGGCTAAAATCCTTCTTCTGTCAATCAATGGTAATTTACGACTAGGTACCACCACTTTAAATGATTGTTGTAGATTGACGGCTGCTCGCTTTAAAAATCTTAATACCAAATCCTGAGAATAAAGAGTGATAATTACTTTATTTCGGCAAAATCCCAAAACATCTCTCAAATGAATCGTATGTCAATTTATATTTGGGATAGCCTCTTCTTCTTGTGATAAGATTAACAATAAGACTAATTGGCCAATACATATGCTTCGCTATGTATATAGTCAAGGGCAACAATCCAGAATTCTTCTGAAATTTAATTTCATCCTCAATTGAAATCTTAGTAATATACACATCTATCATTAAACCAGGTGAAAACTATAGCTTCTATTGTTCTGGCAAGCTGATTTTAACACATATCTACTAAGTCAAGGACAATAACTCTTAAACGAATTGTCAAAAAAGAACCAAATTCAAACTCATGTCATACACGATCTACATTCACTTGTTCCTTACCATTTGTTCATTTAGAGCGTCTACAGCTTCTGTTGATAATACTACATTCTCTGCTAGTAATCTTGATTCCACTCTTACTAAATACATAGCAAAAGCTGACCTAGCCTGCACCTTACTAAAATAACAATTCAATTTTTAACATCCAAGAGTTTCAAAACAATCAAAGGAGAAAACCCTAAACACTCATCATAACTGTACAGACAATGGAAGTTCAAAAGCTGACAACTGTATATTTTCTAAAACAATTTTATATTTCTCCCTATGAACACATTTCTACAGGTTTTTGTTTACACAGTTAAGTAATGTTTGTTTTTTTAAAACTGTCAGTAGAGCAATCTTTAATAGATTGATACATAAAATTCATTTTCTATTAACTTTGTCAACAATAGCCTCATTTTAAAGGATTTTTTTCAGACAAAGTTACTGTATTTTAAAATACAGACTGCTTATTATCCTGCATGACAGCTTTGAGAGAAATTTTTTGAAGTTATGATAAAAAAAACCAAAGGTTACCTCAGTGTTCCTCCCTTATTGAGTAAAGCCACCACGTTATATTTAGGTAATTCAGGAGGTGGTGTAGGTGGTGGTGTAGGATCTTTAACTGGCTCTTCAACTGGTGGAGGTAAAGAAGGTTTCTCTTCAAACCTGGCGACTGATGTAGTAGGCTTAGGAACATTGGTGTAAGTGACTTTCTTCATCACTTCAGACTTGATTACCGTTATTGGTACGTCTTTCTTTAAGGGTTTTTGATTCACTTCTGGTCGAAGGTCTATCACAGGACTAGGTTTTTGTACTTCTGCTGCCTTTTTAGGCTCCTCCCACTTCGGAACATTGGCTTCTTTTCTTATTTCTTTCTCTATCACGTCTGTTTGAGGTAATTCATCATCTGATTGACCTTCACCTTCATCTAAAAGATCTTCTGCTATTCCCTGAGCTAGTTTGCTTCTACGATTTGATTCTGAAAATGAAACAGAATTTGGTCATAAAGATCATTTTCAAAACTGTGGCAGAAATATATCTTTCCAATGGAGGGGAGATGCCTGAATCAATAGAAAATTTCAATGAAAGATTCAAAGAATGTGCACTGATTTCAGCTTTCATTTCTTCCACCTTATTGCGAAATTAACTCATCAAGGCAATATAACCTTTTTGGGGTAAAATCGCAAAACAATTATTGTTTTGAATACCTACCTCTATTAGATTTATTGCCTTTTTTCTTTCCTTTCCTACGTTTCTTATTACCTAATTTTCTTTCATATTGTCTGGTCCTTAGTAGAGCTTGAGCATATGCTTCAACAGATCTCTGTAAAGAAAAAGTAGAACAAGACTGTAATTAAAGGGATCAATCTGCAACAATACCTTCATATTCATCTACATATTTAAAGAGACAGATGCATCATTTTTTGGACTAATCTTACTTTAGTCTCAGAAACTGGAATTTTTTAACTGAGCTAATCAGTAATAGTGTTCACAGCTCACTGTTGAAAATTGAGTCCTCAAATCCACGTGTGTCCAAAATTATCTGCGTTTGAATGTTAAAATGACGACTCATCTTTATAAGATACTCTGTGATATATAGAAAAGACATATATAGAAATGGTGAGTAAAATTCCTAGTTTGAAATATTTTTAAAGGAATTATGTGAATTCTGTACATTTCTAGTACTACTGAAGACTATTTACATATATTCAACCCCCTAATATGGCACATGTCCCTTAAATACATGTCATGCCAGAAATAGACTTGAACATCTTACTTTTCTGGACATGGACAGCTTGTTATGAGAAAAGTTTGTTAAGACAGAAACATTTTTTAGGAATTTCCAACTGAAAAATATTCTTTTACAGTCTGTAGCAGACATTTTCCTATACTTATGACTCTTTCCGTGTCAACTCTTTTGACTGCATCTCTGCCACACTTCTCTGTACTCGACACAATGGAGATCCTGAGTATAATGAAAATATTGAACTATAATTACCTCAGGATCTAGTTTAGTATTTCCACCAGTTAATTGTAAGTATGTATTCCTGCAATAAAGACATTTGTCCAGATATAATTTCAATCTAACATTGTAATATCAAAATTCACAATTCTAGAAGACTGAATCTCAGAAACTTGTCCAAGATATTATCAGACCCAAACTTAGCACAGTCATTTTTCATTAACAATTCTGAAATCAGAAAATTAAGTTTTAAGTGGTCTTACCTTGCTCTCTGTCCAGTAGAAGTCTGACTCGCTGTACCTCGAGGTAAGTTTAAACCTTTATGTCTACAAATGAAATGAAATGAAAGGAGTTTTACGTCCTACTGTTCTGCACCATGTGAGTTAATGAAGACAGGCAATGCTGATTTTGTCAGGACAGTGTCATTAGCCTGCTCTATTTCAGATTCCAACTGTCGAGAGATCTTTAACATGCACAGCCTGTAGCACACAGGGCCTCGGTTTATTGTCCAGAAATAACCTTTTTCAAACCTCAGGAGTGATGGAAGTCTTAAGGTCTGTCTGCCTTTCATTGCCACTATTTTTGTGCTCCTAAATTCCTGATTTTAACCCTGTATGTTATTTCTGTAGAAAATTACATGACTGTATCCCTTCAATTCAGAACTAGACCATTAAATCTCAAGTCATTTTTCTAGTTCTGAGAATATACAAATTTTACATTCTACTTTTCCGTTCCAGTTTGGCATTGACATAATTTTGACAGGTAAGCAACTACACTTTATTTATTTTCAACTGTTTAGGGTTTCTCTATCTATATATCTAACCTTGTTAGCATGCTAGCTATAATCTGAGTACTAAGCAACCCAAACTCCCCTCCCTGTCTAGAACAATATATAGCTGGTAAAGTTTTACATATAAAATTTTGAATAACAGTAAGAAATAAGTATTACCTATCTGGATAAAGTCGTTGATGTAACATTAAATTATGTGTGGTATTAAACTGTAGAAACTGACTAGAAAATAACAAAAATATTCAATATAGCTTTTAGTTGACTAACATGGTAGGGGACAATGTAAAAAACTTTGCTCAAGTTAAAATCTACTTTTCTCTGTCGTTTCAAAGAAGAAATAAGCCAACAACCAACAAAGCATAATTGGCTATGGTGAATTTACAGATTTTCATAGGTATTTTAGAGAGTTCACATGCACATCATTTGATGTCACAGTATCTCAGGCAAATGAATGAATATGGGAAGATTTCAATATTTCCAATGGTCATATCTTCCAAACTCTTTTTAATCAAGCTTCTGAAAGAAGACTTGGCATATAGTGTAAATCTAGACAATTCCGCAGTTTTGTGAGCCATTTTCAAATTCATATATCTTAGTTTTTACTACAAAAATGATTTTCCTTGACCTTGACAAATTTTTGGTGAAAATGATAAGAAAATAGTTTAGAAGAAACATACGAATGAGTATCCCAGGTGTCTGCTGATGGAAATATTCGAACCCAACCATTACGTCTGGCATCTTCTTCTTTTACACGTCTGAATATCTTAATTTCTTCACTATTTAACCCTGCTGTTGTAGGATTCTTACTTTCACTTTTCTTCTGGTTAGCAATTTGTGAATATGAACTTGCTGAAGTTGGTCTCTTTTGCTGTAATGTAAACATACTTAATCAAATTTGACCTTCACCTTGTACAGTTCTGCATCCAATTGCTGATGTACAGAGAATTTTGCAAGTCTGGAGCAAATATTCCATATGTAGTTGTATGAACTTGAACATGCACAAGGTAATGCAAACACCCCTGGTTAGATACTTGCTTTGGTTGCTATGACAACATGACATTAGGAAACAAAGTATCTCACTTGACTCCTTTCACTGTCCAATCTGAATTATTCTAAAGGGATTGTAAAGAGGATTTCTTAATCTTTTATGTTTATCAGGGACAATTTGCACCATTCCAATTTTCAATGAGACGTCTGTTTTATGACGTCACACCTGCAAAATTTGCTTGCACCACATAATATCTTTATATGGATTACGTCATAAAACAATTAGTTTTAGTGGAATTGCAGGAACCACAGACTTCTGATTGAAAATTGGAATGGTTCAAATTGATGCTTTCATTGTCCCTGATACACATACAAAATTTAGTAAACCTCTTTACAATCCCAATCCCAATCCCAATCACAAAGGTGTTATTTTTCTACATGAAGAGAAGATATAATGAAATAAATACTATCTACAACCAGCAAGATATAAACAATAAAACTTACTGAGGTAGCAGATGATGGTCTTACTCTAGCTGACTGAAATATTAATAGCACACAAATCTACTCTAAATATCTACTAATTCAAATTAACTACTAATAAATAATTTGTTAGACTAAACCCAAAATATGGTGCAAAGCTGATGCTTGGCCATTCAACACTAACTGTAGCTCTAGGGTTAGGGGATGAAAGCTGACACAACGGGCTAACTCCCAGAACCACTATCAGCTGGGCTACTCTAATGCCACAAAAAAGAAAGTGTTCCAATCCAGTCATTAGAGGTAAGTATTCAATTTACACAGTTGTTAAATCCTTCAATTTGATATTTATATTGCCAGGCACTGAATATCATGGGTGACCGCTTGAAACCTCGTATAACAATATATATGAGGCAGAATTACTTTTCGAGAAAAATGCATGAAACTCTTTGTACTCGTATTTTGTTAAAATCTTTTTTATCATTTTTTTTACCGCTATACATGGTCTTCATTCTTTGAAAATCTAAACCTTGTATAACAATTTGAGTTCTCCGGCCTATTCATCCAATAACTCGTATTATAATACAATATACAAGGTTTTTCATTTTCATCTGCAGAAAAAGGAACATTTAACCTTGTATAATGATATATTTTACGAGGTTTTAAATCTGACTGTATATATACATGTTATTTAATTATTGATTTTTGGGTTATTTACAATCAAGCTGAGAATAAGAGGTTTTGATCACAAGATCCACGCTTTTATGAGCTTTGCGTATGGTACCAAAAAATTCAAAATACCAAATATGGCATATACAAGGTTTCTAGAGGTGACCCAGGTTTTGTGAGTCTGCGAGTGAAATAGAATAAACTAAGACCAAATTTGAGTACAAAAAATAGATGAAATAATAAAAAAAAAACATCTGTGCACATCTAAACTCTAATACTTAAAGCTATAGTCAGTAAACAATTACTATGCATATTTGAACATGACTGGATGTGCAGTTATTTATATCTTGTTGCCTGGTAACTGTCCGATGATAATAATAACTAACGAAGATATAGATGAATAACAACTGACCTTTGACCTAGCTAATTTGGAAGCTATTTCTAGATTACGACGACTCTGTTGTATAGTTTTCACCATTGGATCATGACACACCAAACCTGCAAGAGCAAATTTGTATCAATTTTGTGATGGTTCGCTTCTATCATCACATTTTTAACTTGAACAGTTGCAAAGAACAATTTATAGAATGAAGCCGAGAATTAAGGAATGCCTTAGCGCTCAAACTTGTAGAAATGTAGTGGCTCTGAATGCTTAGAATTAATCCCATTGAGTTCTGATGGTGCAATCTTTTCTCATTTTTCGGTGCGTGAAGCTAAACATGAAATCAGTTAATCAGGAACAACTGGTAAAAAAATTTAATGGATACTAAGTGTTATTATTTGTAAAAAAAAATTATTTTGACTAACCAGTTAAACTAAAGAGATCACATAACATATTGGATTTAATCTTCAAATCCATTGGACTATCACTGAAATAATAATATTTAAATGGCTAGTGATAAAACTCTGTTGATCTTTGAGCACCTTATCAGACTACAATTAATACTGCACATGATTTGACAAATTCCTTAATGCTCAATAGACATATTCCATATTCCATTATATTTTGGAAATTTTATCTAGTGGAGTATCTGGATTACTCACGAGTGCAACATTGATTTCCTTTTTTTTTTTACATGACTTGCAACAAAATTTGTTGATAGTAATGTTAAAAATGAAAGAGCCAGTATATCGTGGGTGACTGCTGATCTTGTGATCAAAACCTCTTATTCTTAGCTTGATTGTAAATAACAGGTTCAATGTTCCTTTTTCTGCGGATGAAAACGAAAAACCTCGTATACTGTACTATTATATGAGTTATTGGTTGAATAGGTCAGAGTATTTAAATTGTTATACGCATACAAATAGTTTTTTGCGTTTTTCTCAAAAAGTAATTTCGCATCATATATATCGTTATACGAAGTTTTAAGTGGTCACTTACAATATTTATGTTTAAAATAAAATAACAACCTACCAGGCTAAAGAGGGAGAAAGATTAACTTCAACAATCCATGGTTTTAAATTTTCATCTATCAGCACATCAAACCCATATAATTCTATAAATATAATACCAATGGCAATTATGAAATTTGTTAACCCTTTCAACGCTAGCGGTCGGTTTACCAGCCATATACTTAGGCAAAATATACCCAAGCCGCCGGTATTACTGCCGTTACTAAGTGACGTCATACAACGTTAACATCATACACTTTTACTTTTATTACTTGGAGTTCAGGGTATATGACGTTATATTTCATTTACACTAAGGGTTCAAAGGGTTAAGATTTCAAAGACAGCGTCATTAAAATAAAGATAGTCGTCAAGGATATTTTCTACTAGCTAGTCCATTTACAGCTGCATTGATCGACACATTGAGTATATGGTCACCAGAAATTCACACACTGACAATGATTATAACCCAAGAACACTATTGTTTACTCTAAACAAACATGCAAATGAAATAGATATCACCACGGTGTAACCATTTCTAAATATATAATGAAATGATTTTTCAACTTAACTTTATGAATAGGACAGAATTTAACTGTATTGTAAAATGACAGAATCAAACTTACCAAAACAGTTACCCCTATGTGGCATGAACATTTTACAAGCAGTAGCTACAGGTAATTCTACTGATATTATAGTTTTTATTATTACATCTTCTATTCTCATCATTAAAGCTGAAAAAATATTCCACATTTTAAAAGATATAAGTCCTGTATGTCCATATATAGATAATTAATTCAGAAGATATGTAAATATACCCCAACAAATTTGCATAATTATTAACAATATCTATATTTTAACTTTTATCCTATTTTATTCTTTTCATGGAAAGACATTGGGATACTTTAACAGTAATACTTAATTTTTTTTAGTTTGAATGGCAGTTTCATCACCCAGGAACAAGAGCAGAAATTTCTCAAATTTGAACCTAATTTTCAACTTATGATTTTATACATATCAAGTTTAACAGTTAGAAACTTAGAAATTATGGAGATGGGCCTACAATCTCTACAATGTGTAGACAATCTCCATTAAGAGAGTTGTAAATGATATATATTCCAACTTGACAATATATTATTTACCTGCAGTATCTTTGCCTTCAGTCCGTAAATATCTTAATAAAGCTCCTAGAGACCATTTATTACCGTAGTCTTCAACATCAGGGTCATCATTCCTACAAAATATTCAAATACAATTCAGAACTCTTATTCTTTCGGACCAATTGTAGATAATCACTCTGGATTTACATAAGAAATATTAATGCCACATAAAGGGATTGTAAAAGGCTTTTCTTAACGTTTTATCTATATTCGGGAAACTGCATCAATTTGCACCATTCCAATTTTCAATCAGACGTGTGTGGTTCTTCTTGCAATTCCACTAAAACCAAACTTTTTATGACATCACTAACACAAAAGCTGCTATTGATATATAAGGTCCTTTGTGATATTGAAATCATAAATTCCTTACTTTTAGTGCATTGAAAGAACCACAGACGTCTGATAGAAAATTGGAATGGTGTAAATTGATGCTCTTTTGCAACATAGACAAACTTGAAGTGGATTAAAGCTTACCTGACATAGTCGTCACTTTTTTTATTAACGCTATAGTTAGTCAGATGCATACATTGATTTCTAATATGTTTGGTGATCTTCTCATATCTTACTGTAGCAAACCTGGTTAACCCTTCTTCAAATAAATATATTACTAATGGATCATAGGATGTCACTGCTATATACAATCTTACATCAAATTTAAAACCTAGAAAGATATTTAAAAACCTAGAATTAGATCTAAAAACCTAGAATTAGATCTAAAAACCTAGAATTAGATTTAAAAACCTAGAATTAGATCTAAAAACGTAGAATTAGATCTAAAAACCTAGAATTATATTTAAAAACCTAGAATTCGATCTAAAAACGTAGAATTAGATCTAAAAACCTAGAATTAGATCTAAAAACCTAGAATTAGATTTAAAAACCTAGAATTAGATCTAAAAACCTAGAATTAGATTTAAAAACCTAGAAATAGATCTAAAAACCTAGAATTAGATCTAGAAACCTAGAATTAGATTTAAAAACCTAGAATTAGATCTAAAAACCTAGAATTAGATCTAAAAACCTAGAATTAGATCTAAAAACCTAGAATTAGGTTTTAAAAACCTAGAATTAATTAGATTTAAAAACCTAGAATTAGATTTAAAAACCTAGAATTAGATCTAAACACCTAGAATTAGATCTAAAAACCTAGAATTAGATCTAAAAACCTAGAATTAGATCTAAAAACCTAGAATTAGATTTAAAAACCTAGAAACAGATTTACAAACCTACAAAAATCACACAAAATTTCATGTTTCAAACTTTTATTCTGTTTTTTTATTAGCTTTTATTTTTAATAAAACCACTTCAGATAGGGTCTAAATACAGCCTTCTTGAACATTTGTTTGATAACACCACCAGCTAATAAAATTCCTGCACTCTATAACACTGGGATATTATGATGCGAACAGACAGTGTATTCCGAGACGCATTAGACACTGAAAGTATTTTTTGTTCACTTCAAAAAATCCCAGCGTTCGAGAGGGCAGAAAATTGATTGGCTGATGGAATCATCAAACTGTGAATGTTCAAGAAGGCCGTCTTTAGACGTGGCTATATTAAAAATAATTTAAGCTAATAAAAAAGTTTGGTCTCATTTTAATTAGACTGAATCTGGTTGAAATTATGATACTCTTCTTATTTTTGACAGCTTCAAGGGAACTTTATTATTCAATAATTATAACAACAATTAGGTGAGAACAAGATGCTAGATTTGAATTCTGAAAAGCTGTACGCATAGCTGAAATAAAGCTGGTAAAGCAAATATTGAGATGATCCTATCTCTATAATAATAAAATCTTACCATCTATTAACAAAGGACTAGCTATATATTTACATACTATTACATTTTCATCTAATGGCACTTGATCAGGCTGAAAAGACAAATGAAATGAGATGGATGTTTTACTTTTCTGTTTCAAATGTGATTGATGAAGATAGCACAATGCAGCGTTCAATGAGAGATATTTTTTTTTTTACAATGGCAGCATAACTCTATTATGATTTCCCAAAAAATTGGGGGATCTTTTGACTAATAGCCTATAGCGTAGGGATTTCAGTTTATTGTCTCATCAGACGGACTAGATATATTCTCCAGTCCTTCTAACCTGCTTCACTGACATGGAAAGAAATGAAAGAAAAGTAAGAGAGAAACAACTATATTTTAGAGCTGGTCCTTGGCCAAACCTCTTGGCATTGATCTTTGCCGGATTATCTCAACCCATTTACAACTGGGTCAACTGGAATTATGAGTGAAGATGACTTATTCAAGGTCATCAGACTTTCACATGCCGATCTTGATCGGAACCCATAGCCTCCATTCGCTCGACGTAACCTAGCAAATGACGTCATGTTAAGAAACAACGCTCTAACCAACTGTGCTATAGAACCTCACAAAATGGGTTGTGATTGGACCAAATGGATTGAAAAATCCACTAATCAGCAAAGCATGTTAGCACCTCAACTATGAGTTTATTTTGCTGATGCCATAGATTCAAGAGACTAAGAGACTTACATGATTAACAAGAAAGACTCCTCTACCTCTGGATGAGGCTACAGGTTTGACTATATATGGTCCTTTATCTTTTAAATACATAGCTGAAATTATAAAACAAGAAGGTCATTGGTCAAAAAAATAGATTTCAAAATCATTGTTAGTGACTGACCAATCAGATGATTGAATGAAATGTACCGGTAATGGGGTATTTATATCCTACTGGTTCTTTCTGCTCCAGTTTGAACAAACAAAATACGGCAATGTCCTGAAGTGTGTAATAAATAAAAATGCCAGGAGAGCAGCATTAGTACAATAAAAACTCTTTTTTCAAATTTCCATCTGTCAATGTACAGCCTGTAGCAAACCAAGCCTTGGTCTTCCCTAAAACTACAAGACTGTTTTCCACAACAGCCTTTTGACCTGCATCATAAACAGTGAAAAACCCAGGCTAAAAAGTAAGTCAAAAGTTATCTCAAAGACCTATGCCAGGGTCTAATTATTAGATGCAATTAGTGGAACTTAGGAAGACAATACTTACAACAAAAATCTTGATATTCACCAGGCAAAACAAAACTTTGTGGTATAAAATCAAAATGTTTGAAACCCTGAATAAAAAAAATAGCAATGAATGACGTAAAAAAAACTATGTAAAAAAAATCAATATATTAAATGTACACAATATATAAATACTTAACATCTGAAAATTCACTGGTTCTTTCATCTTCAATTTGAAATCATTTATTCTCAGAAATCAAATGGGTAAATTTCTTAGGCAAAGAATAGCAAAAAAGCAAAGTTGAAGAGTTCCTGAGTACTTCTACATACATGTACTGTAAGTTATAGGTATTTTAGCTATTACGAAAAAAAAATTAAAGAAAGTAAGATTGCTTATATAACTGCTGCTATTAATATCACCTTAACTACAGTAAGCTTAGTCCTAAATATTACCTTGACTTGCTGCATTCTTTGTATATTTTTAAACAATCTATCCTTTCTCGTCAATTCATAAGACCTATATCAAAAAAAAAAAGCATATAACATACTCACAATAAACTATAATAGCCGATCAAAGCAAGAATATAAGACACAAAAATTTCATTATTAATGTATTATTGATCGGTGGTCTGACAATCGATAATTGATCTCAATTTGCTAATCGATAACCAGCCCCAGTTGCACATGAATGAAAACAAGTGGACAAAACATTGTTTGCAACATCTGATGCCACACTTCGACAGATTTGTCAAGTCAGTATCTCTTTCAGAGAGTCAACGAAAATTTAAGCATAAAGGAATGCAATTATCATCGTCAGCTCAGCATCTCTCTCTGAGAGTCCTAATAATTAATCAAGGTTTTGGGATATATTTACTATAAATACCAATAGGCTAGTTACTCTTATTAGTAGACAAGATTGTCCCAAAATTTCTTTTCCAATACTTAGCACAAGGCTTTGAATATGGAGCCCAAACTTACTGAAGCTAAGATTCACTAGTTCACCAGTAACAAACTTACCTCGGAAAATGGTTAATCTTCTGGAATTCTGACATACTGCGTAATGTAAATGGTTTGAGATGGCCATTAGACCATACTAAGTTATAATCTGAACTATTGGGATGAATCTGAAAATATTAAGTCTGTTTTGAAAATTGTGTCCCTTTGGAAATGGCCTGAATATTTGCAAGGCATTAAAATTATTCAAATGAAAGTAATTTTTCTTTCTTGCTTTCAATTTGTGAATGTTTTATTTCTATCAGCTAATTGAATAGATGGCTGAGTTAAACTTTCAGTTGAAAATAGCCTTCAAAACATAGGAGAAGTCTCACCTCATGGAAGCCATGTGACTGTAAAATATTTCGAATAATTTTACACTCAGAATTGGTAAACTTATAAGCCATGTGATAACGTTCTGATAAAAAAAAGAAATGTAAGAAGAATTATTTGTCATTATGTTCCCCCCATTAAACGTGAGAATTTGTAGCCAGGCACTTGCTTGTCCTTCTATGAGCTCTCTGCTTTTAAAGGAATACTACGTCTTAGAATGAACATAAAATTTAAGAATTTTAAACTTGGCCTATAAGACCATATATTCATCAGTAGATATACCTGGTGTCATAAATAACATAACAAGATCCTTATATAATCTGATAAATCCAAAAAACTTAGTAATTATCCATATTAAGATTTAAGTGTATTATCACTTTAAATGTTGTTCAAATCTTGCATATCTAGTTGTAGAAAAACATCTGTACTGATAAAGGTCGCGTTAATTGCGAATTCCTGTGTATAAGAAATATTCCAAAGATATAGGGATTGTAAAGAGGTCTTCTAAAAAATCTATGTGTATCAGGGACATTGATAGCGTCAATATGCATCATTCAAATTTTCAATCAGACGTCTTTGGTTCATGCAATTCCACTAAAACTAAGTGTTTGATGACATTACTAATCGTAAAATATGCTCAAGGACTTTGTGATTAGTGACGTCATAAAACACTTAATTTTAGAGAAATTGCAGGAACCACAGACGTCTGATAGAAAACTCGAATGAGGCAAATTGTGTTTGATGACATCATTAGTCGTAAAATATGCTTTATCACGTATAAGGACTTCTCGATTAGTGACGTCTTAAAACGCTTGGTTTTAGTGGAATTGCAGGAACCACAGACGTCTGATAGAAAATTGGAATGAGGCAAATTGATTCTATCAGTGATACACATAAAAAAATTTACAAAACCTCTTTACAATCCCTTTAAATTCTATCAAATAACAAGTATACCTCCTACAGTCTTCATATTCATATACTTCTTATTTAAAATAGTTTCAGACTTAAATATCATCACAGGATTCTTCTTGCCGTACCCTGTCCACACAATATTCAAATTATCTGATGAACTGAAATAATAAATAATGTTTCAAAATATAAATTTGAAAGAAACAAAAACTGAAATAAGCTGTACTGAAGATGATAGACAATGATGAGTCTGAAGATTTATGTGGTTCAATGTCCAGTCTCTTTGTGTGGTTCAATGCAAAAAACCTTAGGATATGGTACATTTTACTCATCAAGAACTTCTTTGTCACCATTTTATAACTTTGTGTAATTTGCATAATTAGATCTTTTAAGAAATTTAGAAATTGATAATTTGATAATATTCGACTTTGTTAAGAAACCCTTTGATTCAAGTCCCCAAAGAATATTACTCTTGAACTTTATGGAAGTCTTAACTTATGTAGTGCTCTTCCTACCTATTTTCTTCTTCTTCATCAGTTTCATAATCAGAATCATGTTCTGATCTTTCATCATCACTTCTCTCAGAAGGTGTCATAGACCCACCATCAGAATCTGTTACTCTGGCAGCCATTTTTTTTTTTTTTTTTTTTTTATTCAGTTCTGAAATTAAAAGAAACAGAAGTGTAAAGGGGTAATCCGTTTTTGTGTAAAAAAGTTTTCATAATCAAAACTGTTGTAAATTATACCTGAAAATATTTTTCAAGTATGTTAATTACATTGATGTATAATCTTGATCAAACTGAATCCATACTTGAGGAGGGTTTGGGTGTATTTTTCACCCAAAGTTAATTTTGAATATTGGGGTTGATGTCCTTACATCTGAGGCCAACATACTTGTTGATGGCACATGACGTTCACCTCTTGAGGATTGTGTCCAATAAATTTTGTTAGAATTAAGGTTCATAATGTGTGTTTTTGAAGCCATTCCAAACAGCATTTGTAAAATGGCAAGATTATAAGTTTATTCAATTGAAGGAATAAGCTTATGTTGTACTTTCACAAATCTCGGTTTCTTGGTTAGTTATTATTTCTACGAATAATCAAGAGGGCGAGTCTTTTATTACGTACGTTACATTTGGAGCATTTTTTTGTGTTTTATTTCTATGTAGTTATAACAATTTATAGTGTATATCAACTGAAAGTCCACTAAACTTTACTTTGGAACATATGACAGATATTGAAATTAGTTAAAACTTTTTGATATGTAATGTTCACAAAATATTGACCCTTTATTAAGAATTACGTACGTACGTACGTACGTTACTCACAAAAAATCAAAATTCTGATTGAATTGTCTTTAAAAATTGTAATATTTCTGTGATTTGAAGGAATGTGTTCGCATTTTGTTGCAAGATTTGAAGGCCTTTGTAATTGTATAGCCATGTAAATGTAGTAAGAATGGTGTTATGTACGTTACAGTAAAACGTTACTTGTATGAATTCAGAGGAAATTGATTGAATTTTAAAACAATTTATTAAAATACATTCAATTTGTAATTCTTTTTATAATTTAAATAACAGTTACTTTAAATAAAAAATTCATTGGGCGAAAAAAAAAAAAACAGAATTAAACTAATAATGGGTTTGTACCGTTTGGGTAAGTTTGTAACATTATTTAGATCAATCGTATAAGATTTACTTAATTAAATATAACCCCATAAAACACAACCTTGGACAATAGGTTCTAGACTATTAATTCATTAACAACCTTTCACAAAACTGAAATTGATCTCTGGAATCCACAACTGTTGGTGGTTCAATAATTTTTACAATATTTTGCATTTTATAGTATAGTATAGTATAGTATATCTTATCTAGATTAGTTGACCATTTCCAATTGCCCCATTTCTGTGCATGACGGATATAACTCTAGAAACATAAAACTGTTACCGGTATTTAGTGTGATCAAATGTTGAAATCAAAATTGAAATAAACAACATGGTCCCTTTAAATTAATAAAATTAAATGTGAGTTATCATTATAATATTCTACAACAATATATTGCAAATTAATACATGGTTCATACATTGTAGTAATGGGTAGTTATCAATGATATTGACCACAAATGGCTGAAAAACATGATTGTAGATTTTTTTTCTTAAAGCCTGCCTCAGACGAGAGGAACTAGATGAGCTGCCTGCCTCAAGAGGTTAGGAGCTGAGCTGTTTCCTATTGTGCGCTGCATTTTCATTGAGATTTCTGCCTCGAGAGGCTGTGAGGAAAAGATCTATCCTGTTTGATATTTTCTGCCTCAAGAGGCCAGAAATTCATCGTTTGTGGGCCTCTAAGCTGCCAGCTGAGCTAGAAAAAGTAGCTAACCAATAGAAATGTGTTGACGGATCACGTGGTATCATTATGGTAACCGTGATTGATGCCATTTTAGAAGATCAACTTGCTGAACATGGCAAGACTATCCGACTAAACAAAAAAATGGGGCAGATTTTATCACTTGTGTGACATGGATGCGTTCTTCGGTTGTTTTCGTTGGCGTACTGAATTTGTCTAAGATTTTCTAATGAGACAATAGCTCGGGCAAGATCTCTCGTCTGCGGTGAAATAAGCAATAAGACTGTTGCTCAGCTGACAGCCTTGAAAGGCAGGCAGCTCAGCTAGTTTCTCTCGTCTGTGGCAGGCTTCAGGAGATAAGATTTAGTCATTTATGAACAATTGGCTGAACAGAATACTAATTATGCATGCTATCAAGAGCACAAAGCATTGATGCACCCTTATATCACAAAATCTTAATATAAATTATGAAAATATAATTGATAAGATTAAGAAAGTATTGTTCTTGTCTTGATTTGTCCTTGAGTTGACTTGACTTGGAAAGGAAGCAAGCAGGTTTATTCCAAATAAGCACACCCCAATAGGGATAATTGAGAAATGTAACGTATGTAACATTACTTACATTACATTTTTAGATATTGAAGCAAACATATTTGGTGTGTTGTTTATCTACAACTAGCATATAATATGAATAGTTTTTGAATAAAGATTAATATGTCATTGTGTATGATAAAATATGTATATATTTTGTTATGTACGTTACCAAAATCTCTCGGAATTGTTTCAGTCTGTAAAACTTTGAATTTATTTTAAAAGTGTGTAAATGTTGTTATTTTTTTTATAATAATGTCTATTTCCTTCTAAATTATTGAAAAGAAGAGTTTTACTGTATGAAAATATATGGAAAAAAACATATCAAAAGAAGGCATATTTTTGTTAAATAAATGATGGAAAAGTATATGAGTCATTGGCATAATGAAAAAATAAAAGAGACCTGAATTGTCAAAATTTTTGAATTTTTTTTTCAAATATTAACATATTTCTGCTATAAAGAAATAGTGCAAGAAATGTTAAAAATGGGTCAAACTGCTATGGATTCCACTATGATTCAAAGAAAAATAGTATTGATAGGCTATAATTTAATATTTGTTAATTGACAATTTGCTATTCAGAGAGCTTTTTGGTCAGAGTTTAGATTTTGAGCAACAAATTAAATTGGGGTAATAAAAGAAATTTAGGGAAGAAACAGGAACCTGTCTATAGCAGAGATACAGCATAGGGCATTGTGACTGAGAATGTAAATGTGACCTAAAATACAAAATATATCTCCAGGATGTAAACTTACACAAGTATATCAATTATTCTACATTCCTTCACTGATTTTACTTTGAACGTGAATTTAATAGGAGACAACACAAACGTCAAATTTGCAAAAGGCAGTAGTAATCTATACGGTTCCAAAATTACTCTTCAGACTAAAGAGTCACTATCTTTTCGGGAAATATCAAATGTTGTCATGGACGCCATTCGAGTTTATTTACACCGGAAGTTGATTTAATCATTTTAAAAAAACATTCGAAAACAATATCGATTTTTAACATATTTTGAAAATGAATAACATCAACAAATATGACACATTATCTTGTAAAATCTTGTCACAAGTAAAAAATAGATAGATCTATCATAATCTAGAGAATTTTGAAGTCGAAATGTGTTGGAGGCGGAAAACCGAAAAACGTGTCGATTTTGAAAATACATTCCTATCTTTGTCAAGCAAATTCTTCAATGATTTACACCGGAATCAAGTGAAAATGGGTCCCCTGTATACTCAAAGGTTAAAACTAAACTTGCTTTAATATGTCTTATTCATAATTTTCTCAAATACATTCATAAAATCGAGAAAAACATACTCACCATTTCTTCTTGAAAACAGCTTGCGAGTCTTGACACGCGCACCTTGACACGACGCGGTGTTGCCAGATTGATCTAGAACAAAAATAACACGACTCGAACGCACTCGTGGAACGAGATCTCTGTATTATTAAAGGAACGATTTCGCCATCCGTTTGACCAATCTTACCTTCGTCATAGAAATGGGAATATTTTCGCTTAGCTGAGATGATCGGTATTAGTATTAACAACTCGCCGTCGAAATTTGAGTCTTCAAATTCATGTGTCCAGAATTTTCACTGTGTTCTTAGAATAAAAAATATAAACATGAGCACATATTATGTCATGCTATTATGCTTTTACAGAGGGCAATTTTCAGGCAAAATTTGGGAATTTTTGTGGGTTGAAATCTGAAGGAGAAAAATGTGTGTCTCTTTTGTATGTAAACTTACCTATGATAACATTCTATCACTTTAAGACTAACAGTACTATTTTAAGGCTGATAAATAATGTCCTTTCTATAGATGATAGTCTCTAGTAAAGACATGAATTACGTTTTAACTTTCAATAGCGGTCGTTTAAATAAAGAGACTAATTGTAGAATACAGACCATATAGGACTTACTTCAGTTCATTAAAATATTTTATGCAAATGATTGTATACGAATGTAGTCCACGCTATTTTTAGAAATCTTCTTTCTCTCTCCCTTTTGGGGTTTTGCATGCCTAGTTTTGGGTAATTTTTGGTCTAGATTTGGAATTTGATGTCTGAAATTGCATTATCTTTAAGGTTTGGTGAGATGATGAGAGACCTGAAGGCGGAAGGCTAATTCTAAATATAGTCTTTTTGTGAACTGCCAAACTTTAGCGGATGAGTATATAACCGGTAGTAGTCTACTTTCAATTTTAGTAGCTCAGGGTTAACCCTC